AAAACCACTCGCCTTTTTTTTTTTCTTTTTTCAAACACTCACCATTCTTGAATGCAGTCACACGCTTCCAAATGCTTTCAAATGCACCGTGGCCATGCCATGGGACGATAAGTATGGGGCAGTGGCCTTGCTATGGCACGACAAGGTCGCTTCGCTCCACAGAGTCCACACATTGCGCATCAGGGGGAGGTTCCCTCCGGTCTGGACAGTCTTATGTGAGGCACTTGTGGCCCTGATTACCCTTCCATGGGGATCATGGGGTCTAGCAAATGTTCAGGAGAAGGGGTCATTGCCAGTCCAGGCTCCATCAAATGTGATCAGAGGGAGCAGCATCATTGTTTGGACGGGGGGAGCAATCAGGCAAATATCACTTGGTACACCTATGAGCAGTTGGAATACAGACCCAAGTTCGAATGCAGATGGAAGCAGATGGAATACAGACAACAATAATGCTAAGTTACCTTGGGCAGGTCAGTTTAGTGATGATATCACACAACTGTGATAGTCACCCCTTTTTTTTTCCTCAAAAAAAAAAAGGTAAATAGGGGGTCAAATTCAAAGCGGAGGCTGATCAGCCACGCATGCACTCAGGGTAGCTGCTGCTGGTAGTTGTGCAAACGTTGCACCACAAATGGCCGTACCTCATGACTGGTCCATACGTCACCACATTGTGGACAGCGGACTCGGTCTGTGCTGTTTCTCGGTCACATGTTTTGGGAGGGGTGACGTAAAGCACGGCAGCCGGGCAGCGAAGCAGATCACTAACTCCCACCTGGGGGTGTGATGATGATCTGTCCATGAACAAACAAGCCCGTTGTCTGGGAGACAGCGGTGGAGATGGGGAACATATGTACCAAATACAGGAACCTGTGACAGCCGCGTGTTTTGGGAGCAGCGGCGTAAAGCATGGGAGCGGAGCAGATCGCTCACTAACTCCCACCCGGGGGTGTGATGATCATCGGTCCATCAAGAAACAAGGCTGTTGTCCGGGAGACGGAACTTCCACGGAAGTGGAGATGGGGAATGTACGTATGAAATAGGCGCCTGTGACAGCCGATCTGACCCTGAATGTGTTTATGATGCTGGAGGAGGAGGATGAAGAAACTTCCAAGTTTGTAGTAAGCAGAGGGGAAGACGGAACACAGGATGCAGGTGAGCGAACCATGGTGGTGGCGGGGAATCAGCAGGGAGAGAGTGGATGGGGGAAGGGGGCGGCAAGCGATTAGCCCTCCGCCCCGCTCCGCCATTCAGCTCTCTCCGGTAGGTTACCTGCAGGATTGGGCTCAGTCGGTGAGGGCACAATTCAGCATATGTATAGAAGAAGGAAAGTGAGGGCAGGGGAGGAGGGGGGGGGGGGGGGGGGGGGGGGCAGGCCATTTAGAGGAGAGCGCCAGGGAAGTGGGTGAGGAAAGGTATGACAAAATGAAGCCGGGCATATGGATACGCACCTGTTAGAAGAACGCATGACTGTATATGCTGAATCTCCTCATGGGCACCTAAGTCAATGGTCCTACTCTCATCTGAGTCAATAATAGCAGGACCTTTTGCAGCTGCTTGGTTGCCCTTTCCTTGCTGGGCCTCAACCGCACCGCATGCAAACATTTCCATCAATGCTGACAAGCCCCGCCTGTGGATCGGGCTACTCTTCTGCCTCCTCAGCTTTTGAACATAGTTCTTCACCTGCAGCAGCGCAGAAAAATCATAACAAGGCATGAGCAATCGCCGAAGGCGGGCCTCACTTGCAATCATCTTCAACTTTGTCACTTCATTGGTGCCATACGCATTCCCATCCCATCATCTTCAACTTTGTCTCGTCATCTCTGCAAGACTCAACAGTGGGCTGTACATCACATTTTCTGTACAAAACGCACATGACAGACACACACACACGGACATGCAAACACATGCACATATGCATTCCCATCATCTTCAACTTTGTCTTGTCATCTACGCAAGACTCAACAGTGGGTCGTACATGTACAAAAGTAACAAAACGCACATGACAGATGCACACACACACACACACACACACACACACACACACACACACACCACACACACACACACACACACACACACTGTAGAGTGGGGTTTACGGCTGACACAGATTAATTTCTCAGACTTCAAGTTACTGCCGTTCTTCTCAAAGATTCGGAATGACAGTCTGTTAGGATTGCCGGGTTGATGTGAGTAAGATTGACCACTTTTCTCAGGGGTATTGCCGACCCTGGGTGACATGTTGAGTCCTTAAACATCAGTAAAATGCATCCTATGCAGACTGTCGAGGCTCAACCTCCAGTCGGGGAAAGCCCGATGAAACAGTCTGGCACAATCATGCTATTCTTTGTGGGGTCATGTATAGCAGACATCACAACACGCACACAGAAACACACACACACACACACACACACACACACACACACACACACACACACACACACACACATACCCACAGACGATCTTATATAACAGTCTCAGAAGATAACACGTATGCTAGGCGCTTCCCTCCATCCCGCTTTGAAGAATAGCAACACATTTCTTGTGAAGTAGTCATTGCACTCATGTCCTCTTCTTCAAGAACTCCGCTATCGGAACAATGGCAATATGCCTCTGACAGCACCTCGATCAGGCACAAGCAAATATTATAGTAGAGTTTAGAGAGCCAGATACCTTGCGAAGCCATTTCCGCTCTTTTGCTCTTGTTCAAAGAACCAAATAGCAGGGTGTGATTCTGGAGGCTCATCAGTCACACACACAACAACTGCATACTAGGGCGGTTTGTTGTACTTGTGCGGTGACATCAACATAAAATGATTGTGATCCAATGCTCGTCAGCTCTACAAACATTGCAACAAAACTTGTGCGGTGACATCAACATAAAATGATTGCGATCCAATGCTCGTCAGCTCTACAAACACTGCAACAAATACCTTCGAGTTCCATGCTTACCGTTCTGCTGGAGGAGTCGCCAAATTGTTCATGAAGGCTCCTTCTGATGTTCCCCTTTGCAGCTTTCTTCTTCCCCTTTTGGCTGAGGGCGTCGAGGAAAGTGTCAAGATCGATTTGCCGTGACTGTGGGCCAACTACTTTCACCACCTCAGCTTCATTCCCTTCTGTATCGTTGCCAGTCGCTTCATTCCCTGCTTCTTTATCTGTTTCCGCACTTTCATTCGCTTCTATAACAACCTTTCCGCCCTCTTCTTGCTCCGTTCCGCGCTTAGTCCTTGCGCCAGCTGCGGAATCTTCTGCAGAGCCATTTGCTGCTGGCTCTGGCACTGCTGCAGTGCCAGGCTTCTCAGTCACCTCAACCGTCAGAGACTTACTGACGGTGGTCAAAGGGGGCGCCGCATCAGCCTTCATGGGTGCTGCTGCAGGTGCGGGCTTCGTGGGAGCAGTCGGTAGAGACCTTGTGGGTGTCGCTGTGGCATTCTTTGTGTTCGCTGAAGCTGCAGATTTCGTGGACGGAGCAGCTGCCGCCTTTGCGGACACTGCAGGCTTTGTGGGGACAGCACCGGAAGACTTTGCGTGACCTGCAGCAGGGCCCTCCTTCACCACAGTCGCAGACTTCTTGGATGCTGTTGGTGCCGACTCCTTGGGAGCTGCAGGTTGTTTGACGGCTGCCGTTGCTGGCTCCTTGGCTGCTGCTGCCGCGGCTGCTGCTGCCGCAGGTGCTGCTTCCTTGGCTGCAGTTGCGGTTTCCTTCGCTGGTGTGGCAGCAGGATCCTTCGGTTTGACTACAGCCTTCTTGTCCTCTGTGGTCTCGTCAGCAGCTGGAGCACGTGCTGACGATGCATTGGTCTTCGAGACTGCAGCTCCCTCTGTCGCAACACTTGCTTCGCCTGCACTCTTCGCAACCACTGCCTCGTCCTCACCACCTTCCTCTGCCTCCTCCTTTATTCGCCTCAAAAGCATCCGAGGTGGTTGCGGTGGATTGATTACCTCGTGACCTTCGAGCAATCCATCACTGCGTCAATCGAACACATCATCCATCATATAATTCATGAGTAAAGGATGCCCAGTCAGAGTAGGCCAGTTCCCAATTTTTCTAACTGTTTCAACCACCTTCACTTTCTTTTTCAGGGACTTAAGGAAGGGGAGGGAGGAGGGGGGGTGTCGGGGGAAAGGGGGGGCACATCGGATAGAGCCAAAAGTTAGCCATCTTGACACAGTTCTTTGACGCTGCAGAAAACTCTCTCCCTTGCATGTAATCACTTTGGAGTCATTATAAAGATGAATAAATTGGCAGTGATTTGCACTAAGTTCGTAGAATAGGCTCCTTTTGAGTCTTTTCAAGAAACTCTTGAGCAGGTTCATAGTGTCATCATGTGTTGCAGTGACACACCTTTGAGAAGCATCCGCAATGACCGTGAACGTCGCACCCTCGTTCAGAGGAAACTTCGTCAGAATCTTCTTGAAGTCATCGCTAGTCTGCAGACAACCCAATAATAACAATATCCAGATTTCGTAAGCRAGAAAAAAAAAAAAAAAAAAAAAAAAARAACCCGATCCATACTGAGGCCTTGCCCCCAATCCAACAAAAATAAATCTTGACACATAGGGTAAGGGCATTGCTGCAACACTCACCGAATGTGAAAAAAAGAACCCGATCATGCAGATGTAGATCACACATGCAGCAGGCTAGGGACTTCTCCCGAACATAACGCACCGTGATATTGAATGTATACAAGCCATGTTTCCGGTTCGGTACAGCCAAAATGAGGCTGCGTTATGTTCGGGGAAAGACGGTAGCAGCAACATGACAGGACACAGTCTGCTCTGATATAGAGACACTACCCCCCAGAGAAACAGCTTGGAGTGGAGTCATCTCAGGCCATACTCACACCAGGACTTTTCTGGATGTATATGACTGCTTTCCGACCCATCCTGAATGCTTCTGACTGCAACTGCGTCCACAGAGAAGAGGAAAGAGTCCTACAGTCTTCCCCCGAACAAAACGCACGTGCGTTATTTACAAATAGAAGACACGGGGTGCAATGTATTCGTATACAATGCATGTGCATTATATTATGGATATAGGGTATCAACTTCCAGAAACGCCCCCCAGCCAAAAGGAAAAAAGGTCTGCATTGAACACGTACCTCCAGTCTTCCCGCAAACAGGACCTTCAGGTAAGGCAGAGAGAGACAGAGAGAGAGACAGAGAGAGAGACAGAGAGAGAGACAGAGACAGAGA